TATCTTCATAATATGTGTGTATGTATATGTGTGTGTGTGTGTGTGTTTTGGAGGGGGGGGAGTGGAGGAGGGTTACAGTCTGCAGCGGAGCGTGTGGACTTAGGTGACAACTTAAAAGGCGTTCGTTAGATATTCTTTCCAACCGCGCCAACCAACAACCGCCAACCACCATCCATAATCACCAAACGTTTCCGGCAAACATGGTTCGAGGCAATCGGGGCGCTTCTGAGCTGCTGTTGCACCCGTTCCTGCAGCTGTTGTGACGGACTTAGTTGGATTCGGATTTTGTCCTTCAAAGGTGGTGAAAGGCGTGAGATGCGGACGGAGAGGTTAGCAAAGGAAGGCGCCAGGTATTTTGTGGGTTTTGGTCCGCCCTAGCTACCGGCCTGTACGGATGCAGGGGGCCCCCGCCCTTTTTCCGACCTCGAGGAAGCGGACACAGCTTTTTGGGGATGTCTGTCTGGTCTGTGTTGTGTGTGTGTTTGAGATATTCGGGGGCCTTGGCTGTCGGATGCCCGGGGTTTGAAATTTCGAATTTGAATTGTGGTGTTGGTTTGAATTCGGTCGCACGCATAATTCCTTCTGATGTAAAAGGATGCGGCCCTCTTTTGCACTGAATTGTATGTATGTTGTTACAGGGTGGTTAACTTCGCCAGCGGCCCCCTTTCCCGGGGCAGTCCCTGCTCTCCCCTGCTAGAGGGGCACCCTAATCCGTCACCCCATCCGACTTCAGAATGTATTCGTTGGGTTCGGCAACTCACCACCAGCATCCAACCAAATCTAGCGGATCAACGGCGCATCAACTTAGTTCCTGGTCAGCTCGCAAGTTGATATTATCACGTCCTACACCGTCCATATGATGGGGGGCCACCTCCCATTTCATCACTCCTCAAACACCCGAGGAGCCGGCAGGCGGATTTGAACCCGGGTCGACTGGGTCGACTGGGAGCAGAAGTCAGGCCTTAACCTCTGCCAGCCGCCTGCCATGTATGTATGTATCTATCACCTGTGTACGAACTCGCGCTTTTTAATTGAGTCTTTGGGGCGTGAGTTGCGCATATGAGTGAGTAGAGAGTGGTGAGTACGTGAGACAATCCGTCAACACATAAATCGGGTCGCGGGCGATGCCCGGGCTTTTCCCGCACACCATGTTGCGAGAGTCTCCAGCAGGGGTATGAGTCGGCGTGTATACGGTTGTGCTTTGACCTGGCTACGGTCCACAACAACTGCGTGTAGATGCGGGGCAACGCTCGGTGATTTTCATTTATTGCTGTTAAGGGCACAAGGGTCAAAAAGGCAGTTGGGGAACACGAAGGGGAAAAGTTGAACGTTGTGCTGTTTAGGTAGTAGTAGTAGTCCTCCAGGGCCCCCCTTTAACCTTCATAACACGCCCGCGGGAAACCACTGGAGACGTCCTGAAAACTGAGAAACATACATACATACATACATACGTACGTATCTTCATGTTCTTCAACTTCTGGTCGCACCCTTCGATTAATGTCCACCGTCATCGCCTGATTGAGGCGGCCAGGGCGAGGGGGCCCCGAGGGCTCCACCAACAGCCCCTCCGCCACTACACTACCTCCCTCCACGATCTCTCACCTCGACAAAGTGTGTATGTAGCTTCACCAGCGGCCCCCTTTCCCTTGGAGGCAGTTCCCTGCTCTCCCCTGCGAGAGGGGCACCCTAATGCATTCACCCCATCCGACTTCAGAATGTATTCGTGTGTATATATACACGCATTGTATATTACATACACACACATAAATATATATATGTATTGTATATTAGCTGTTTTCTTCTGTGGCTGTGGCTGCATAGGTAGTTGTGTAGCTGCTGCCGCGGCATGCGACCACTACCACCTCTGTGTGTGTGCGCGCGTGTGTGTGTACAAATAGGGAGATCCCAAACAACCACCACACTGGAAGGCTGCTCCTTCTTCTCGCTCCCCTAATATTATTAATAATCCATCCGCCGCCCAACACGACCGCCATCGGCAACCTGGAGGCGAAAGCCCTCCCTTGTAGCCCTCCCGCACCACCACCACCACCATCCCGCGAAGCATTTCATTTCGGTTTGGTCGGGGTGACGGTTTGACTACTTCTAGACGGTTGGTCGGTTTCCCGCCGGGGCGGGGTCTTTCCCAACAGCAGCGCCAGGGGAGGAGGTGGTCTTGCTGCCCTAGCTCCTCGATAAGGAGAACTCACTCGCACACACACACAGACAGACACACACGCAGACACACGCGCACACATTGGCTTTCGGGAGCCCTACAGGATTTAAAAAGGGCCAGGCGGATGACCTCCGAGGAAATCCGTCTGTCCGCAAGTGGTTCCATCCATCATCCGCGGGCGGGGGCCCGCCCAGGGTGAGGGTGAGGGTGAGACAACTCACACAGAAAGGGCGCAAGTCTACCGCCGGCACCTCTCCTCCCTCCTTCATCACACACACACACACACACACACAGATGCCGTCAGGCCTTCCGTCCAACAAGAAGTGTCTACCCTGCACCTCATGAACAGCATCACCACCACCACCACCACCACTAACAAAACCGGCGCAAGGCCGCAAAATCCCTAGAGAGAATCTCCATCCATCTCCACTCCACTGAATCCATTTCCAACCAGCCGGTTGAATTCCCAACCGTCGTGCTAACTAACTAGCCATCTGGCTGTCTAGACTCTGTACCGGGCTCCCCGCATCACCCATCGAAGTCCGAGCGCCAGTACTGCGATGTGCCGGGGTACATGATGTCTGCGTTTGGTGGAAAAAAGGGGGGAAGGGGGAGAGGTGGGAAAGAGAGAACGGGGAGGGAAAGACGAACCACGAACGAGCAACCAGGTGATGCCAAGGATATGCAGACTGATACGCCAGAAGAAAGGGTATATGCGTGAAATCGAAGAGGTGCAGCTGGGTTATGGAGAGGAGAGGTGGTCCAAACCCCGGGGCTTGGCAGTTGCGTGTTGTGAGCTGGACACACGCAAATGCTGATGGTGGTAACGGTAACGGTAACAGTAGCGCTAACGGTAATAACGAAAAATACCCCTACAATCCCAAAGGCCGGCTCTACACATCACTGGCCGGCTCTGCTTCGCATCGTCGCCATGCACATGCAAAACAATGTGTTTCAGTGTAATGCAAACAACCTCTTCGGGGGATGGTGGTCTTGATAACCAAAAAGGCAACAGGCCCCCAGGCCGCCAGGGCGCCCTTCAGGTTCCAGCTGCGCCGTGCGGCAGCGTCGTGTCCCTCCGAAACCACCACGAGCCCCCCCCTCCTTCCCACGCACCCGCTAGCCCAACGAAGCACCCGCGCGAGACGCTCATGTCGTGACGTTTCAGGACACAGCTGGTGTGGTGTTGGTGTTGGGGTTGCTGCCACTTCCTGCCCCCTCCTCTCTCCCCTCCCCCTCCTCCCTCTCCTCTCTCTCCTCCTCCCTCCCTCCCCTCCCTTTCCCCCTCCCCTCCCTTTCCCCCTCTCCTCCCTTTCCCCCTCCCCTCCCTTTCCCCCTCCCCTCCCTTTCCCCCTCCCCTCCCTTTCCCCCTCCCCTCCCTTTCCCCCTCCCCTCCCTTTCCCCCTCCCCTCCCTTTCCCCCTCCCCTCCCCCTCCTCCCTCTCCTCTCTCTCCTCCTCCCTCCCTCCCCTCCCTTTCCCCCTCCCCTCCCCTCACTGGTCGGCAATCATCGGCTCAAGTCGCTCTACTCAGAGTTTAATTATAGTCCATAGTCCTCGTTACGTCGTCGTTACCTCATCCTCTTCTTCGGCATCGTCTTCGTCTTCGTTACCATGGCCCTCGTCCCTTCGGTTTCCGCGTCCACCGACCTCAGCCAGCGCGAGCCCTCCCGTTCGCAGTCCGGAGACGCCGCAGACTACGCCGGACGCCGCGCGAAACCCTTCGCACTACTGGACCACCCCCCCCCGCCCCCCTCACCATCACCGCACCCTTCCGCCCCACCACCTCGAACCCCACTCGAACCGCCGCCGCTTCCCCCGACCTCACTAAACTGGCAAAGGGGTATTGAAATGAGCATTGAGGAAGAAAGCACGTGTGTATGACGTCAAGGTGCTCGCAAGACGCTCCTTCTTGTTCTTGTTCTTGTTCTTGTTCTCTTTGTGGTGGTGATGCGGACGGTGTGAATGGTTACACTGCCCTGGGCCACCGACGTTGCTGGTCCTGCCGACCTCGCGCAGGCTGCCGCTTCTACGCCCGTGCTGGAGCCGTGATCGACAAGCAAGGACAAGGTGCGTGGCTGTGTCCTTACACATGAGTCTGGGGAAATTTAAGTTAGATTTCGAAAATGCCACGAATCCAACCTTGACAAGATTCCGCGAAAACTGCCTTGAAAATTGCTGCTTATTTGTTTATGCGCTTATGCGCGTCCAGTCCGCCAGTCCTCGCCTAGTGTTACACTTCTCACCTACCCCACCTACCCCACCCGAACCGCATCCGCACGTCCAAGCTTTCACCCGACATGTCGTGGTGCAGGTGCTGAAGTGGCTGAGTGACCACGCAGCAGCGTGTGGCGCCAACGACACGCCCTGGGAGCAGCAGACCAACGTGGGTGACTCGGGGGCCCCCACAGCTGCGGCGGCAGCAGCTTCAGCCGCTCAGAGGCAGTTGCTGTGGGAGGTGCTGCGGCTGCTGGTGAAGCACTCGGAGGCCGGAAAAACGAAGCAGGCCAGAGGGTGGCTTATGGGGCAGGTAAGGGGGGACAGACGGCGAGTGCGCGTTCAGGGGAAGGAGGTGGGGCCGGGAGGTCAACAGTCGCGGTGGCGGTCACCTTGGATGTGGCGGCTGGTGTGCGGAGCGGTGGCGCTTCTGTCTGTCCCAGCTATCGATGTGTGCTGCAGTTGACTACTAATCAATTTCTGCTGCTACTACTGCTACTACTGCTAATGCTGTTTGGCTTTATTCACTGGCTAATCCTCCCTCACAAAACATGTCCTTTCATGTTGCCATGTCCTCAAATGGAG